CTCCCGCAATGTATGGTTCAGTCTCTCTGTGACTCCATTCTGTTGTAGTGTAGACCTGACTATTTAGTGTCGAACAATACCCTCCTGATCACAGAACTCCTTGAAAGTATCCTCTGTATATTCTGTATCATTATCAGATCTCAGTAACTTTAATTTCCTACTTGTCCTGTTCTCAACCATTGCTTTTCACTTCTTGAATGTCTCGAATACCTTATTCTTATGCTTTAGAAAATAAATCCAAGCATACCTAGAATAATCATCTATAAACAAGACAAAGTACCTGGAACCACCCTTGGAAGTTGTTTGAGACGGACCCTAAATGTCTGTGTGCATATAGTCTAATATACCTCTGCTCTTGTGCTTGCTTCTCAGAAACAGAACCCGATGTGTCTTTCCGTACACACAATCCTCACATAAATCCATGTAAGTTTTTTTCATGTTCTTTAGCAAACCTTTCTTACCAAGCAGATCTAGACACTTCTCTGACATGTGCCCAAGCCGCCTATGCCATAACCGAGTGTGCTCACATGGGTCTCTACCTCTTCCATCAGTTCCAACTGCTGCATCTCCTATCACTGTTGTACTTGAGATAGTATATAGATTTCTATGACGAATGCCCTTCATCACTACTAAGGAACCCTGAATAACCTTTTTTACTCCGTTCTTTATTACTATCTTACAACCACCAGAGTCTAAAGCACCAACTGAGATAAGATTATTTTGCAAGTCGAGAACATGCCTCACGTCTGTTAGGGTTCTGACCACTCTATTATGCATCTTAATTTTTATATCACCAAGCCCTATCGTTTTACAAGCATGGTTATTCTCCATCAATGTGGTTCCACCATTAATGCTTCTATAGGTAGTAAACCACTTTTTATTTGGGCACATATGGTAAGAGCAACCCGAATCAAGAATTCACTTACCGGAGATATCTTCACCATCCGTAACAACATAGCATTCTTTATCGCTCCCTTCCTCCGAGATGTAACTCGCCTCTTCCTTGCCTTCTCTTCTCTCGGTTTTATTGTTGTTCTTCTTTCCACATACTCTCTTGTTAGGACAGTCAACCTTGAAATGCCCAAGCTCACTGCATTTGAAACACGATATTCTTGCAAGAGGTCTCGATTTTGATCTAGACTTTCCTTCATTGTCTTTTCCTCGCTCATTGCTCATTCCTTTTACAAACAATCCCTATGCTTGTTTCTTGTTACCACCAGTAGTCATGTCACTACTTGTAATTTTCCAAAGATTATTCGCAAGAAGTGTCATTCTAGTCTCATCCATCTTTAAATTTTCACCTACGAGCATCAATGTTTGTACCATGTTTTCATAAGATTTTGGTAAAGAAAGAAGTAGCAGAAGTGCTTGATCCTCGTCTTCTAGTGTCACATCAATGTCCTTCAAATCCGATATGATACTATCGAACTTGTTGATGTATTTCTGGATTGATGATCCTTCCTCTATTTTGTAAATATACAATTTGGATTTCAAGTAGATCCGATTTGTTAGACTCTTCGTCAAGAAGATACTTTCTAACTTTGACCACACACCCGCCGTTGTTGCCTCTCTATCCACTAAGAAAGCTACATCTCTATCAAGGCATAGGATAATCGACGCTCGTGCTTTGGGATCTAACTCTTTCCAATCCTCATCTGACATATCTTTGTGCTTCTTTTCTCTTCCTGCCAAAGCATTGTGCAATTTCTACAAAATCAACGAATTTTTTATTTGTATCCTCCAATAGAAAAAATCATTCTTCCCATTGAATTTTTTGATCTCGTACTTTCCAACTTTAACTGTTTTACTGGTAGACGCCATCCTCCTCTTGTTTCAGTAAACCGTCTCTCTTAGGAAATTTCAACAAATACCTTGTGTGCACATCATAATAACCGAGCATCACCTCAAATTGGAAGCTCAATCACCACCAATTTGATGAAGGGGTTGTGATACCAATTGTTGGGGTTCGGGAGACGCCCACACCAAAGCGGAAGCAATATCAACTTCAAGAGAGAGAAACAACCCTAGCTAGAGCTTACACCAATCTCAAAACCAACCAATCACAAGCAATAGCGAATACATAGATAAAAATAAGTAAAGAAGACAAGACAACAGATTTATGTGATTCGGCAAACTTACCTACGTCCACGGGAGCCGCACAAATAATTTCTTATTTAACCATAAGAAATTATAAATCTTGCAAAGAGAAGATCTCATACTTAAGATCTCTCAATCAAAATATCGATCACTGTAGAATTGCTACAGTACCACATGTGATTTTTCACTAAAAAATCACCACTCAATCTCACTAAGAACCCTTCTAAAAAATCACTGCTTCTCTTGAGAAATTACCACCGCCTTAAACCCTCTCAAGAATCGTGAGATGAGCAGCTCAACGATTCTCGTGAACAAGGTTTCCCTTTTATAGAGAAACCTTAGGTCATGTTCAGGCGAGCTCCCTCCAACTGGCTTGCAGCACGTAGGTAAGCTCGAGTGTTCCATCAGGCGAGGTCCACACATAGGCGACCTCTTCATCAGATGAGCTCGAACCGCTACATGCAGGTGAGCTTCCACACTAGGCCCATATCAGGCAAGCTCGAACCCATCAGGCGAGCTTCCACGCTAGGCCGCCCGCGTGCAAGCTCGAACCCCTTTCACACAGGCAAGGTCACCTCAGTAGGCGAGCTCAAACCCATCAGGCAAGCTCTGACTCTCCTCGCCTCAGGAGAGCTCCGACTCCACCCGCAGGTCCGTTCTTCTTCACGGACATTATTTTATATTCAGTACCCAGATTATTTTGCTTGATAGCTTCAAGATATTGTGGAAGTAATTCATAAGATTCTTTCAAATCTCCAAATATTTTAGACAACGCTTTCCTCCATGCATCATATGCCTTATATTTAGATATCTTAATGCCCCGCATGTCATATACCCTTTGAAATATCTGACCTTCATTTAGATTAAGTTCAGCCCTCACTTCAGGCATAATTAGCTTACATATATAAAAGGAAGATGCAGAGTAATGATCGACATCCACTGATGGATTACAACATGTATAAAGTTCGCAATACCTAGATATTATAAATTGCCCATTTAATGATTTTCTCACAGTTGCATTTAGCAACCAATGACATTTCATGTTTCTCTCATCCTGCTCACTTGCATGCTCCACTTCAATCTTCTCGTTAAAGTAACATTTTCTTGATAGTTTGTTGCATTAGTTTTTACCGGCTTGAATTTGACCCGATTCTTGATGGACCATTCTCGGATTGTAAAGATCAATGCCTCCTTGCTCTCAAATAGATCCCCTTTTTTAAAAGTGAAGTCCTTAGGCCGTTGAAAATTTGGACCAATATCAACAAATTCAGCTTGAGAAGTATTTATCCAATCCTCATTATGAACTTCGTCAGGCAACAGATCTTCAGCTTCCACATAATCATTGTTAACATAAAAATGTTCCGTCCAACGGGAGTCATCATCGATTCCAGTTGCCACATGCATACTACCAATTTGCACGCCATCTTCTTCAATATCTTCTAAGTCATCATTTGCTTCTTCTTCTATAATTGATCCGGCTGGTAAGTCACCCAAAACGTGGCTCGAAGCATCGTTAAATATAGTACTTGATGACCCACCAAGAGAATGCCCGCTTAAATGTTGTAGTTGAGACCACAACTCTTGACTTAGAGATGTCATAAAACCACTCGATTCATTGTCTAAGTCAAGCATCCAGGAGAACTCTTCTTGAGCTCGCGAAACTTGGGAAAATTCGAGAATTAGATACTTCTCAATGAACAACTCAATTGACACTTGCTTCTTGACTAATTGTTTCATGTCATTCAACTCCTCATCGTCGGTAATCTCCACATCAATTGTTCTATTCTTATTTATCAGACTGTTGAAGAACATCTCAATCGCATATTCTTTTTTATTAATTTTAGTAACTCCATGTATTTCCTTCATCATTCTATCAAAATTACATTACTTGGATATCATAAACATTTTCCTCGAACCTCCCTCATACATAGACATACTATTCACTCTTACACTGAGGCTCCCATTGAAGAAGCAAGTAATGGGTATAGAATTCGCCATCGAAACTGAAAATCAACAGTCCATCATATGCAAATAATTTATTATAACTGAAAATATTAATCTCAATTGAAAATCAAATTTAAAACCCTAATCTCAATTGAAAAGCAAATAATGGTTAAACCCTAACTTCCAAATCACATTATTCATCATGTTTCACAAAATAAAACTAAAAATTTTCGTATCCAAAATCATAAACCCTAGTCAATCCATATCCTTCATCAAAATTCTCACAAAATATTACAATTCACAATATAAATTTCATATCCCAATTATAATTAAACCCTAAATCAAAAACCATATCATTTATATCAAAATTTAACCCTAGAATGATACATCCATATCAATCATCAAATTCACAAGAGAATAGCGAAAAAATTTCACCTTGATTGGAGTTTGATGTGGTCAGAGACGGCTGTGGTCGCGAGCGGTGGGGGGTTGCGAGATTTGATTGAGGCAAGGAAAAAGGGGAGGGGAGGGTTACGGGTGCGCTTTGGTTTATATATACCAAATGGACGAGACTAATAGTCCCGTCCATTTGGTTTGACATGCTAATCATAAATTAGCATGCACTAACTACACGAGACTAGTAGTCTCGCAAAAAATCCTCAGCAGCAAAATCGACCCTCTTTATCTGAGTTGGGATGAAAATGATCGATTTTACTATTTTTTTGGGAGAAAATCGATTTTACTCATTAATTTATTAAAAGGTTGTTTCTAAAAATTTGTCCTAGAAGGAATATGCCAACCCTCGGAGGTTAGAAGCCGAGGGAGGAGATTTGCGAGGGATACAAGTCCGCATATTTCTTTCAGGAATTTTGATTAGGCCCCCGGTCTTATATGCAATTGCATTTTCGCCCCCGTTACGTTTTGGCCCCTGTATTTATATTATCACTCTCTTTTATCAGCCCTAAATTCTCAACTCTCTCTCTCCCTCGCTCCTCTGCCTCGCCCTCGCCGTTTCCAGAGGGAAATCGACAGCGAAGATAAAAATTAATCAGCTTTCACAAAACCCTGATCTCCGCTTTCTGTCGCCTCCTCTCAAACCCTAACCCTAAGAGATGGTAATTGTACCGTCACCTCCCCGCAATTTCGCCCCTTGATTTTTCTTTCTCCTTTTTTAATTTATTTTTTAGGTTTTTTTTTTATTTTTGAGGTATTTGATTCGTAAGCATGCTCTTCTTTATATTTTGTCCGGCCTGACGACCAAATGAAGATTAGGGTTTTTCTTTTTCCTCATTCCGCGTCGTATTTTTCTTTTATTTTTAATTAATGTAATGTAGTTCTCGTTTTTTTATAGCTTAAAATGTGGAATTATTGCCTCAATGGCGGAATATTTTTCTCTACTATTGAATAGTTTGAACAGTTCTTCATTTAGAGCTTTATAAATTGTAAGGTATAGGCGAGTAAGTGAAATTTATTTACGTGAGTAAGTGAAATTTAGTTAATTATATTGTTTTTTGTAGCTACATTATGTGATTTTTGTCACTGGATTGTTTTCCTTGAGGTTCATTTATTCGTTTGCTTTCTTTTCACCCGAGTTTGCCAACCACATGACAGTAAATCTATTGTTCATATTGCTCGTAATATTTTCTTATTGTGGTTGGGTGTTGCATTGTGAGTTGTGATTTTCTCCCTTTGCCTGCAGATGAGCAGGGGAGTTGGAGGAAGGGCCAGATTACGAAGTGAGTACTCACCTAGATTCGAGGAGAGAGAACGGCGTTCTGGCTGGGGCATTGCCCCTCCATCACGTAGCCTTTGGGTTGGTAACTTGAGCACTCACGTGACACAAAATGTTCTCTCCGAGCATTTTCTGCGGTTTGGGGATCTGGACAACATATCTTACATCCCAGGCAAAAGCTTTGCTTTTGTGAACTACAAGAGGGAGGAAGATGCTATCATTGCGATGAGAAGTCTTCAAGGATTCAATCTTGCAGGGATGCCACTTAAGATCGAGTTTGCTAAGGGGGTTAGTCATGTTGTTATATGCTTGGTCCACACTTTCGTTTGGTTTCCGATGTACTTCTGTATGTTAAATAATTTAGTGCGTTATTTACAACCAAAGAGGCTAATAACCAAAGAACTATATTGCGTACACTAATGATCACACATTGACAGAAGTACTGGATTCAATTCAATAATCTCTAACCAAAAATAAACCGTTGGAGGTATTATGAAAAAGGCACAAGAATATTTTTTAAACATAGTTTAATATATTAACCACAAAAACTCTCACACATCACCAGAGCATTACTCTCCTTATGACATAGAGCTCTATACACAGAACTTCTGCTATTTTATTATTTCAATGATGATAAATTAATAGTCCATGTTCTATACCTTTACTTAAACAACTAATAAACAATTCTAAACGACAAAGTTAAGAATAAATAATTAGTAACTAAAGGAAGGCAAAACAGTCAAGCCCCTTTGGCCTATTTTCACTCTGTCCAAGAATGTGGTTGTCCAATTATTTGTAGAACATTGCCATTCACATAATAAGATTTTATTAAGCACATTACCTTGTAAAATTAGCAAAATGAAGAACTGATCCCTGCCATTTTTCAGTGGGTATTTGAAATCAATGCATTATTGATCCCTGCAAATTCTTTATTCACAATTCATCATTTGAGCTTGCTTCCATTCAGAAACAGAATGCACATTGGTGCCACTCATTAGGACACTTGTCCAAAAGGAACCAAGTATATTACTTCAGGTCATTTCTAGAAAGTCTCGTCCAGGAGGCGTGATACATATTAACAGCTAATTATCATACATAATTCATCTTACATTTTTACGTAATGAAGTTTAATGATAATTGAAGGGTGTGAAGAGGCAGTTCTTTCATTCCAATAGAGATCCAGCACCTATTCATAGTCTGTTGGAAAATAAGCCTTAATTTCACTGCTCAATTACTAGAAATGTCTGATGCTAGATTTTAAAAACTGGCTTAATTTAATACCCAATTCTAAACCTGTGGACTTAGGTTTGTTCTTGCAGGTTTATATCATAATCTCATACATTAATTGGAGTCTTACCTTGCCTTCCATCCCGGGTTCCAAAAATTTATTGAAAAATTTAATTACTGCTGGAATATATAAAAGGATGATCACCTAATGATTCTGTAGAATATTTTCTAAATGATGATTTACATTATGGGAAACTGAGTTGAAATTGCAGCAGTCAATCGGCAACGTAATTATTACTTTTTCAACTTTTATTCACGTGCATAGACAAAGCTAAATGCTCTGGTTGAGATTACTTCAATTGCGTCTCAAGTGAAGATCAATGTTGGAACTTTTTTAACGAATGAGAATTATTGCCTGTCATTTTATAGTTGCTTACTTCGGAACTTTTACCTTAAAACCCCTTAAGAATTGATTTACACTATGGGTCAGAAGCTGTTATTGAAAGTTATATTCAGACTTGACTAGGGCATTAATGCAAATCTACTCTATAGTTTGCACAACCTCTGATCTAATGATGTGTAGGGTATACATCACCATTATGGATACAGGATGCATGTACTCCATCATATGGACATGTAATGGAAAAAAATCTAAGATATGAACATGTTGCGAATATGAAAATAATAAAATATATGTGGCTTTGGGTTTGTAACGCTAGAATTCATAAAGAATACTGCGGCAGACAATGTAAATCTTCCTGTATGTGTCTAGGACAGTATAGCGTTCATTATAATTTATAACAAAAAGTGTACATTTTGTATAAATCGACCCATAAATCAGTTAGGATGGTCAACTGTCTCTATGCATTATTATTTTCTTCCTTATTAGTTTCAAATACAATCTTATGGTACATTTTTATGTGTGACGGGAAATTATATATTTTAGGATATGTTATAGGAGCATCCAACATTGTTTTTGAGCTAGATTACTTGGACACGGTGTTTTGGATGCCGTATCCGTGTTGGATATGGATTCTCCATAGACACACCATGGACACGTGTGGTTCAAAGGAAAACCCGATTTCCCTATTACTTACTAAACTAGTTTCTTTGGCAATATTGGTTTCAAAATCAATCAGTTTTTGGACCTGAAAACTGAAACCCATTATTTAAATATTTGACAATATACTCATCTTATTATTACATGCGATCAAAACTAAACTTTTATTGTTAAACCTTATTCTTAGCTTGATTTAACCTGATTTTTAATTATTATAGATAATAGAAAGAAACATACAAATGTTATATGTCTTTTAATTCAATATTTCATCTAAGATATATATATATATATACATATATATATATATATATATATATATACATATATATATGTTAATGATATATATACTATATACATATTACATATACATATACATATAGGTTATACACGTATATATATATATATGTATAATATTTATATATATATATATATACTATAATATACTATATATATATATGCAAGATCGAGAGGAGAGAGGAGATACATATGTAAGTATATGTGTATATTATACATTGTGTTTATTATATGGTAATGTATCATTATGTGTATATTATCTCTCTATCTCATATATATTATATATGTACGTATACAATAATGCTATGTACAGTGTGGTGCATACTATATATATTATATATATAATATATATATAATTATTAATACTATATATATAATATATATATCATAGTATTTATTATATATGCTAACTAGTATATATACAATATATATGTATATATGTATACATGCATATATATATATGTTACATGACATCTCTCTCTCTCTATAGTATATATATACTTATATATATCATATGATATAATATATATATATATATATATGAGAGAAATGGAGAACTTGTTTGCCGCTGGATACCAAGTTGTCTGTAAAACACAACTTGGTTTAGTCGATGTGGCACTAACTTGCTCCTACATCCACACCCTCGAAGATAGAGCCTCAACCACCCTTTACCCAACTCCAATGTTAATGTTAGGGCAAGCATATAGGCCACATCACTTACCCAAGTTGCTGTGGAGCAACTTGCGTACCAAGTTTCTCCATTTTTTCTCTCTCTCTCTCTCTCTCTTATATAGTATATAGTTATAGGTATAATATATACATGCTGTGTATATATATGATATGTATGTAGTATATATGTACTATCTATACTATGTATATCTCCTCTCATAGTACATGACTACTATACATACATACAATATATATATACACACATGTATATATAATATATTATATATATATATATTATATTAATATATATATCTATATATATATATATAATATATATATATATATATATATATATATATATTAGAGAGCACGAGAGAGAGAGGAGAGAGGAGAGAGAGGAGGGAGAGAAGAGAGAAGATATGGGTATGCTTCGGCTAGCCAAGCAACAATTTTGTGTTTTGGTTAGTGATGTGTGCAGCATCCTCGACCACCTCACCTACCCATGTGGAATTTGTTCCCGCACATTTGAATCGAATGGAGGGGGATTTGACACACATCACTACCATAACGGCATATACTTTTTTCGTGTTTTGCGTACCATATTAAAGGCATACCACCATTGAATTTCTCCATATATATAGTATATATTATATGATATATAATAATGATATATATATATATATATATATATATATATATATATATATATATATACTTATATTATCATATACTTTATATGTATACATACATACAGTTATATTTATCCATACATTAAAAGTGGTCCACTTTCATATGGGTTAGAGGTGGACTATTTTCAAAGTGGCGGGCCACTTAGATGAGTGCGCTACGAATGTTTGCACATCACTATCAAGGACCAAATTTGTCCTTGGTAACAAGGATATCCCATTTCTCTTTCTCTCTCTCTCTTTATATATATATATATTATAATATATATATATATATATATATATATATATATATATATTATATATATATATATATATAGTATATTATATATAATCATCCATTTCTCTCTTTATACATACATGTACATACATACATAGCCGTGTCCTGTATCCCACATTTTACAAATTTGCCGTGTCCATGTCCTCATCCGTATCCGTGTTACTAGTTTATGAACATGGTTGTATTTGTGCAACATGTGGCTTGAAGTAATCAGCTTGTGTTTATTTGGAATTGGTTACTGTACCCCGTAAGCTTTTCTTCCTTGGTCCCCAAAACCACATTCTTTGTCATGTGATGATCTACCTGCAATTTCATCAATCAGGTGCTATTTACTACAGCAAACAACTTTATAATGTTGAAGAAATATGCTGAAACTCTTAATTCTTTTATGATACAGAGGATATCATGCATCACAATCAATCCCTCGCTTGCAAGATTATTTTTTGATGTTTAACTGAGAACAATTAAAGATAGATTGGTCAACGGTTGTTTCCATTCACATTAATCAAAATTTTGAATGCTTCAATTAATGATATGGCCTGGGGAAATATCATTCAGTTTACAATCTGACTTTGGAGATCATTTAGTTAGATAAAAAGCAAGTCCATTCAAGCATCATCTAACATATCTGCTGATTAAACTGAAAAAAATTGTCTGATGATTAAACTGAAAAAATAACTAGTGTGAGTACTTCTCACTAGATGGATACTTCCCATACCGAAGCAAATCACCAACCATTTGTTACAAATTAAAGGAGCAATGTTTGTTGTCGTGATCACTTTTTATGAAGGGTATTTTACTCACCTTGAGAATATACTAGACATGATTAGTGTGTTCTCCTATAACACAAAATAAATAAATTAATAAACGGGCCAGCTTGTTACGGTATTTTTATGCAATGCACTCTTTACTTAAATGACCTTTATGTCTTCCGGGCTGCAATTGTTTTTCTCTTCTTTATAGATTTTGAGAAAAATTTATGCATCTACTGTCAACAATTTGTCCTTATGATCCAAACAGATAGCCTCATGATTGGTTGAGAGTAATTCCAGATAAAACCTTTCACTTGAGC